GGGCGAGACGAGCGAGGCCGCGCGAAAGAGGCAGCCGAGGATGCGCGCCCGAAAGCTCCGCGGGCGCCGAGATGCTTCTCAGCACCGGGCCTGTCGCTTTGGATAATGTTGCCGAATAAAAAGGGAGCATTCTTGCCGCGTGCGTGCACTTTGTCCCGGGAAAGGGGCCGCGAGGGGACGTTCCGCAAGACCAGGGGGCACGAAGGGCGCCCCGGCGCCGCTCCGGACCGGGGGCCGCCCCGCGCGCGCGCGCACGCCCGGTCGGCCCTCGTCCAGCATCGCAGCCCGTGCGCGGTCCATGGTCGGGTACGCTGGTTCGTTGGCAATGCACCCCGGCGGAAGTCCCCTGGCCGCGGCGCTCTGACGGCGATCGTGGCGGGGAGGCCCGGCGCGAGACATTCTCCGCCGCGCCTGGCGGCGCCAGCTGCTCCCGGCCTGGCCCCTGTTTCCCCCCCCCCCCCCGGGCAGGCGCGGCATCTCGCGGCGGCCGCACCCCGGAGGGGGGGAGCCGTCGCGTGCCAGCACTCTGCGGGCGGGGGGCCGACGAGGGGGGGGGGGCCTTCTCCAGTGCGAGCCTCGCATTGACTCACCCGAGGCCGCGCACGCGCAGCCGGCGGGGCGGGGCCAACACGGGGGCGTCTCGCGCCCCGTGTTATCTCACCGGCGATGAGGACACGCACGTCCGAGGGGCGGTGCCAAAGGGCGCGGGCGGCCCAGCGCGAAGGCGCATGTGTGCCGGCGCGCGGCCCTGGGCGTGTGTCCGCCGGCGGCCGGCATGATCCGGCGCGGCTCTCTCTCTCTCTCTCTCTCTCCGGGGGGCGGGGACAGGCCCGCATCGCAGGCTGGTTGGCATCGCCCACTTGCAGGCAAGACTACGCGCACACGGCGCCGGGGACGCGGAGCGCGGCGTGGCCCCCGCGCGGGGCGCTCAAGGGTCCACACACGTACGCAGCCCGGCCCGGCCCGGCCCGGCCCGGCCCGGCCCGGCCCGGCCCGGCCCGGCCCGGCCCCCCCCGCCCCTGCCGTATAGTCGGCCGCGGGCGAGCGCAGGAGCAAGGGACCATATTGCCGACCGCATAACCCCCCTGAGGCGGAAATATCGTACCTCGGCGGCCGGGCCCCTCTGGTGGTGGCCGGGCCTGCTTTTTTGGCCCTCGGGCGAAGGTCCCGCCTCGCCGGGCCGGCCCCCGAACCCCGGGCGGGCGAGTCGCCGGGGGGCTGGCCGCGGCGCAGGGGCCAACCGCCGTGTGCGCGAATAATGTACATACACTCACACTCCGCGCACGCCGCGCACGCCGCACACGCCGCCCGTGCACGCCCGGGCCCGACGGCCCTTTGGAGCCGGCCGTTTGTTTATATGACCGGCGGCCGTGGCACCGGGGCGCACAGCGCACGGCTCGCGCCCAGCCAATACAGAGGTGCATTTGTAACGCCCGGAGACATTGACTCATGTACTAGGTGCGCCTGCCCTTTGTCGTCTCGTGGAGTAGGGGGCCGAGAGCCCGCGCCAGACAATAATAATCTGTCAGTCCCCGACCCCCCGCCTGCCCCCCCCCCGGGCCGGGGGACGCGGCCAGTCCGCGAGCGGGGGAGACACGAGCAGGCTTGACCGGAGACGGGGCGCGGTGCGGCAGCAGTCACCGTGTTCTCCCCCCCCTCTCTCTCTCTCTCTCTCTCTGTGTCTCTCTCCTCCGGTACTAATGCGTGCATCTGACTGCCGAGGGCGTAAGTCCGTGCCGACGCGCTCACCCCGTCCTCCGCACTCGCCCCCCCCCCTTCCGGCGGGCGGGGAGTTGAGGGCGCTCGGAGTGGGGATGGCGAGGTCGGCTGGTCGGCTTGTCCCTTCCCCCCCCCCGCCCCGCCTCCGGCTCTGTGTTTCTGCGCTGCTGCGCGTCCCGGGGACATAAGCTCAAGTGCCCCCCAAACCATGGGAGTGGCCCGATCGCTGCCTCACCCTCCCCCCTCCACCTCCACCGCCCCTGGTCGCGCCCCCTCCTCCCCCCCCCCTCCCCACCCCGCACAGCCCCCGCTTCCTTTCTTCCCCCTCCCCACCCCCCGATCTCGCGCTTTCTTGCCCGCTGCCGCCGCCGCTGCCGCCGGTCATCGCGCATTTCCCTGGCGCCCCTCTCATCCTTCCCCTTCTCCTGGCTTTCCCGTCAGGCCTTCCCGCTTGCCTCGCTCTCCCGGCGTCGATTCTTTCCCGGTACGGCTGCCGCCGTCGGCGCCGCCCGTGTCCCGCCCAGTGTGTGGGCCAGACGCGCGCGTGCATGCCCCCCCCCCCCCCCCCCCCCCCGAAGTGTGCCGACGCTTGAAGGCCCATCCATTGGAGCCGAACGCCCCCCCCCCCCCCCCCCCCCCCCCCCCCCC